GTTTTAAAAGGTATGTTCCTAAACAGATCCATTTATCCATTTATCCCCCCCATTTTAAAAAAAAATTGTCCCACATTTTCTATCATCAGCACTTTATGAACTTGACTGTATAACTGAAACGTCTTCGGACAGCGCTGGCTCTTCGGCTTTGAAACGGAGATGAGCACCGCAACCCTGGAGTCGGACTCGACTGTCTTTCAAGCAAGGGAACCTTTACCTTTTTACCAAGGACATACAGGGGTCTCCCTCCATTTATCCACAACTACCTCGTGAGGTTAGGTTAGGAGGGTGTGACTGGCCAAGAGTCACCTAGCAAGATTCATGGCAGACGGAAGGTGAACCCCCATCTCCCAGAATGCGCCTCTCCCCATACTGTTACCATTATGCCACACTGACTGATACCTCCTTTTGGAGCATGGTATGAAAGAATTCAATCTGTGTTGAAATCATTCCTTAATTTTTGTTACCCCCGCTTATAAAGAGCTCAAAACGTAACAAGATTTAAGAACATCCACATCAATAAGCGTGTCTCAATAAACCACCTGCTGGATTTCCATCTTGTCCTTTTTTCATTGCTGTCCCTGTAGCCTTTGTTCATGAAACACAAAACCCAGGTTTTGGCATGACACAAAAACAAAGCCAGTTTGGTGTAGTGGTTAAGTGCGCGGACTCTAATCTGGGAGAACCGGGTTTGATTCCCCACTCCTCCACTTGCACCTGCTGATGTGACCTTGGGTCAGACACAAGCTCTGGCACAGCTGTCCTTGAAAAAGAGCAGTTTGTGTCAGAGTTCTCTCAGCCCCACCCACCTCACAGGGTGTCTGTTGTGGGGAGGGGAAGGGAAAGGAGTTTGTAAGCCGCTCTGAGACACCTTTGGGTAGTGAAGGGCGGGGTATAAATCCAGTCTCTTCTCTTCTTCTTCTTCTTCTTCAACTCTGCATAGTAAAAACCAACGGAAAATATACATTCTCTCTGTTCAGTGCTTATATTTCATACAATGCAGACCAAAACATAGCACTGACTGAGCTTAACCAAAAAAAAAATTTCCCAGTTTATTACCAAAATACAGTTAGTCAATACATGACAAAAAACTTTTGTAAAGCAAAATAAATTATTTTAACAATGTACAGTATTTTCAAAGGTAGTCAAAAGTAGTACTACAAAGTTTGCCGGATAGCTCAAAACAGACAATCCAAAAGAAGAACTTAAGGCATGCAACTTAATGTGCGGGAAAGAGGGTTTTTAAAAATAAAATAAAGCCATCCTATCAATGATACAGCAAGAGATGTATCTGCAGTATTTTACATGTCAGTTTCTTTTTCATCCCTAGAAGTTTTATACTTTGGATATTAAAAAAAGCAACGCCACGGTATTACAATGTCTTTTTCTTAAAAAAATATATGTACCCATGCCCATGAATATCAAATGCAAGTTTCTATTAAATATATTTTAACATTACTTTGAGCACCAACGCGTACATTTATTTATTTTAATGATTAAATAAGTGCTTTTTTAAAAATGCAGTAACTGTCAGAATTCCACTCTGTCTTTCAAGCGAATAATGTGGAGAGAGCTGCAATAGTCGTCTTTTGTTAGCGAGGCATTTGAAACGACACTTAATTAGAAACTTGTAGTTCCATGTTTCCAAGCTGTATTATAACTGAAGGACTCGGTTCAGACAAACTACAGTATAGCCCATGTGAGAGGCCAGGGGAGGGGCAGGGAGGAGACCGTGGAATCACATCTACCCATCGGGGTAACTCTACCACTCTGGACCTACTGGGATGGCCCCATCCTGGACTTCACAACTGCGTAGGGCTTTACATCCAGACCACAGAAAGGCAACCACTACACAGTTTACGCCCACCATGACTAGACTTTATGTACCTGGGCACTGTGTAAACACTACTTGCATGGTGTAGATGTGTAGCGAGTCCTAAAATAGAATAAGTGGCCCAGTAGGTACAACAGCCAGGATAATTCCATTGCTCAACCTCACGTTCCCCTGAGCCTGTACTACACTGAGGTTATCTGAACTGGCCCAGAAGTGCAGGGTAGATCCATGAAAACAGCTACCTGTACTGACTACAGGTGGTTGAACACCACGCAGGAAGAGTGCCATCTGCAGTGCATCCATTTGGGAATAAGCCTCCTGATAGCAACAAAACTGGCTCCTGAACCTGTTCGCACAGGTGTGGCAACCAGAAGTGTAAGTGGAAATTGGGCTTGATCCAAAGTTTGCTTTCTGTCAACAGAAGGCGGAACATTTTGGCCTCCCCTTAAACCCCCTGAAAGAAGTAAAAATTTAGTTTGGATTCAACCCAATGTCTCTAACGGAGTCCTAACAGCTGGAGGAGAGACTGGAATTAAAATTCAAAGGACTAAAAGTGCACCTACCTAACCTGGGAGTGGGGAAGAAGGAAACATCGTATTTAGCATTATGCATCTGAGCATTTGTGTCCTGAAATCCTGTCGTTTCAGATCTTGGAACAGAAAAACAGGCCATATGTTTGAAAAGGGTTCTTACTGAAAAATAAACCCCAAAACAAACAACCACCTGGCACCCAAACCGATTACATCGCAACCCTTTCCAAGGAAGGTAACATGATCAGTAAACTGATTTCAACCTAGACTCTTCCACATGACAAATATGTAAATCTTGAGAGTGAACAGACAGCACTGCACGGACGCTTAAAATAAGGAAGCTGTCAGTATGCTTATTTCCTGTGCAAATGGATGTCAGATTTCTAGCATCAAGGTTACAGTCAGTTTGTTCGTTATTTCAGCAACAACAAAAAAGTACTCCATTTAACCATTTAGCAGTAAGTTTCACTAAAGACTACAAGTACGAGTGGTAAGGGGGGAAAACCATGCTGAATACATATGTCTTTGTCTAGCCCTCCAATTCATTTCACCTGCTCCTTGCACACTGTATTCTGAAAAACAAAACTTTCGCATGCGCAAAAAATTAAATCTGAAGCTTCAGATAAGGATATCACTAGTTCATTTCTTCACTGTCTTCCTGTAGTGAAATAGAGGTGTGATCCATAATGGAAAAAATATAATAAAGGGTCATGGCAAATGATCACAGTTTTGAAATGATAAATTAAAATAAATTGAGTGCTTTGGTGGTTTTTGTTTTTTTTTAATCGTGCTTTAAACAAATCGGAGAAAACAGACCCTGAAAAGATGGGAGGTGTGTTCTCAAGATATTATAGAGTTTACCCAACTATTTTCCAGTTCCCTATTACATTGGAACTCTATGCTGAGTTCACAGGGCCAAGCCCGAGGACCGAAGATAACAGTAACTAACAGCCAAACATTTTTCGTCAAAGTTTTATGAGCGAAGTTCATTCTGAATAATGAAAGAGCACATTTTTTAAAAAATCAAGTACAGTTACCTTGTATATCCAACCTTCCCTAATTGTTCTATTCTGCAAACAGAGTGCAAGAACATTCAACTTCTAAATCCCATTTTTCACAGGTCTGAAACATTCCTGTGAACTGGGTTAGAAGACCATCCTTTCAACATACTGATGCATATTATTTAGAAACAAATAATGGAAGAAATAGCTCAAGAAGGAGGGGGGAAGCTCTAGTTCTGTATGTCAACAAAACGAGTTGAAGTATTTCTGCACTTGATTCAGCATTTCACGCTTCCTGAAAAATTATACACAAAATTTGCCCAATTTCACAGGTTCAGAAAAGACGGGGCGGGGGTGGTGGTGTAGCACCATAAAACCTGTTAAGCTTTTAGCTTAATTCTGCTAACGACAACGTATAAATAGGTAATAAATACACAAGAAATATGTTCAGCAGCTCTTGGAAAATAATTCAGATTTGCATACCATGAATTGGCTCGAGTAAACGGAACTGCAACATCTTGGCAGGAACTGTGAGTGATTCCGCCCACGTGCAATAAGATGATGCCGGAGGCTGCCGTCTTGAGCACTGGCGTCTGAATTCTTACCAGACACCACGTAGCTGAATTGCATGCATTGTTCTGGTCAAAGAAACAGACCTAATACATTGCTCGAGGTAAGAAATGCCTCCTTCTAAAGAGGCAAGCACATGCAACCCTTCTTAGCGGTCGACAGGATTTCTTTGCTTATGGTAGCCTCAGTTGAGTTTCCATGGGATTCCAGCAGATGCAAGTCGATGATTTCTGCCCTGTTGAATGGTTATTTTGTCAACACAAGATAAGCCTCTCCTCAGAGTTTGTTTCAACGTTGGGTTCAAGGTCTGTCTATGACCACCTGTTCCTCCTGCTTCCTATGCTCCAAAATTATGGTACTTCCAACATATTGAAATGAAAAACCATTTGTGAAATGCCTGCTTGCACATAACTATATAGGTAGTATTAAACATGCTGATGAACCTTTAGGGTACCAACAAGAAACATTTAGACATACACCTCTTATTGTAACATCTCACAGGGGAGAGAGAAGATCGGACCAGACAAACCCATAGCAAAATACCAGCTTGTTTTATGCTGCTTATACCAGTAGGAAAAGAGGTATCTTTTCTGAGAAAGAAGCAGCTAAGCTAGGAATTGTAAGGCCAAAGACTTTGCTCCATCTCTCTCCCCTCTGGGAGTTTTAGGAGACAACTGCTTCATCATTGTACTTTCAGTCGTGTCAAGGGGGGGAAAATGCTAATTACCCGAAATGAATGTGACGTCCTTCTGGTAGTTTTGAGGCAGGAAGGTAAACTCCCATAATACCTTGGTGTGAATGTCTTATTACATAAACAGACTTTTGATTAATAGCAGGCATTGAAAATGGCTCTGTCCACATGGCATAGTGTAAAATGGACCTTTTCTCTACACAGAGTATGAAACTAAGCAATTACTTCGACAAGATGTGGTGTGACCTGCTTTCTTGTTGGTACAATGACATCAGAAGTCGTGAATATCACTACAATCCTACTCACAATCCCTCACTTTTGTAAGGATTTCATTTATTGAACGCGTATCACTACAATCCTACTCACAATCCCTCTCTTTTGTAAGGATCTCAGGTAACATTTATTGAACGTGGGAAGAAACAGCACCTGGAGCCACATTTGAAAAGGGGGAGCTTTGTTCAGCTTATGCTCTGTGCTGTACCATGGTCCTTGTTCAGGATTATGTTTATAATTTCCCCTTCATGTTCCTTCATGTGGTCGAGCAAGGTCTCTTTGTTGGTGGACTCAAATCCACAAATGCAACAGCAGAAGAGCAGAACGCAATACTCTGTGCCGAGATGGGGCAGACTCACATTTTTTTCTGAATCACACGAGGTATTCGCAGAAGAACTGAGGTTCTGATTGTCATCGGAACTCGTGGTTTTGTTTGCGGTGTGGCTGGAGGAGTCTGACGGGGACAAGGCCTCAGGATGGCACGTCAAAGGAACGGAATTATCCTCGGAGCCTTCAGCTACTGTCTTCCCAGGTAGCTGACTTGGAGACCTAGGGAAGAGGGGGTAGGGAAGGCAGGTTATTTTCATTACATTACTAAATAGGGGAGCGGTGATGAATTGCAGGGTGCAAGATAAAACCACTGGAGGTTTTCCTCTTCCCCCTATAGTGCAGAACAGATACTCTCCAAGCCTAGATGACTCCTGCCTGCCTAAGTCCTGAACCACTCAGCAATTTACTGATACACCAGAATGTGACTGATTCTCAATATTCCATCCCTTCTAGGGCATATTTAGATCTCATCAGACCATTTCTGTTTTTTTTTCTTTTGCCATTGGTTAAATTACAACGTTTGTTTGTTTGTTTTTGCACACCTTGGGAGTTATCCTGCGGTTGGCTTGATTTTGCTGCTCTCGTCATCTGTGCAGGGGCCAGCCAGTTTACTATTAGATACAGCGACAATCAGCAAGTGGAATTCTTCAGTGCTATACAATATTGAAGATAATCTCTAAGGATCTGTCCACAAAGTTTTATTCAGCCTTATCCTAATGCCCGCCTCCCAACCCTCAATGAGTCCCTAAATAATATCTTAAATCCCCTTGACTTTAAAGGGAAGTTCAATGGTTTGGCACTAGGGGTGTGCAAAAACAACAACAGTATTTTTCCGCTTAGGTCTATTGGACCCCAAAAAATGTCCGTATTTCCAAAAAATCCCGGATCCCAATACCAGTATGGTACTTGGATCCGGGATTTTTTGGAAACCGGAATTTTTTCAGGTCCAATAGACCCAAGAAGAAAAATACAGATTAAGAAGAAAAAAGCCAGCCCGACCTTGGGGCTGGCTTGGCTTCTCCTGAAGCACAGTTTAAACCACGCTGCAGGAGAAGCTGGCCCCAGGATCTGTGTATGGCCGGGAGGTCTCTCCCACTGCAAGCAGACCTGGCTGGGAGGGCTTCTCCTGTGGCACGGTAGCTGGCCCCAAGATCTGCATGTGGTGGGGAGGTAAGAAAGGATCAGCTGGGGCAGCGTGGAGCTCTCAGCCCCTGCCGCTCTGCCTGATCATGGGCTGGCTCTCAGCTTCCGCCGCCCCGGCCAATCCTGGGCTGCCTCCTCTTGTAGTTTGGTTTAAACCGAGCTGCAAGAGGAGCCCACCAGCCATTCAGTATAGCTGAATATACCTGAACAAGAAGAGGGACCCGTGATACTCATGGGGGGGGAGAGTATTCCCCATGGCTCCCGTCCTGCAGAAGCAGGAGGACCTCAGCGCTGAGGAAGTGAGGCCCGCGATTCCCATCGCTGCGCCCACCAAACCTTCTCCCCCGCCCACCCCAGCAGCGACAGCGAGGCGTGCGTGGCTCCCAGCTGCCGGTCACGCCAAGCCCCCCCTGCAATGGCTGCGAGACACCATTTTCAGTGCGTTCCCTGCGCATGCGCAGGGCACACTTTTTTACTTTTTGGGGAATTTAAGTATCCCCTGTACAGTTTTTTATAGATTTCAGATTTTTCTGCACATCTGGGGATTGCCCCAAATGTGCAGGAAAATCTCCCTGCCTCCCAAGTGCCCTCGATGTGCGGATTTAGATATCTGCACGGAGGGGGCAACTTGACTATTGGATATATAGATAAAACAAACAAACAAACAAAAAATGGCTTTATTCAGGCTTAGGTATACTGGTAGCCGATCAGAGTCTCAGGTCTGTATTCAGCTTAAATAAAACCTGAAAAATACCGGTAAGGTATTTTCCAGGTATTTTTTCAGCTTGGTTTATGCCGAATGCAGACCCCTATTTGGCACCAGTTTTGTCACTTGAGAAACTGCATGCAACGCATATATAATCCCCCCCTCCCAGCAACTATATATACCATAATGTTGGGCACCAACCTGCTCTTTGAACTCAGGGACTGAAAAACTTAGTTTTAAATCTTTGTTGGAATTCCAGAGCTGCCAATAGTGAAGCAGTCCAGATACTACATTTATACTGTAAAATCAAGGTTATATCCTGTGCATGCCTTGGGCTTTGTGTTTTATATCATGGTTGCAAACGATAACTCTAAAATACAGATGCACGCACCGGCCACTTTGCGAGATTGCATCGTTAATAGCTTTGTTCACTTGTTCATAGTTATAATTTTGGTCGCTAGCATGTTTCCACATATGAGACTTTAGAGAAGGAGGATGGCTACACACATATCCACATAGGGAACATCTGGAAAAAAAAATTGAGAGATGTGATTACCAGTAAAAAAAAATAAGCACATCAATGTGTTATCCAAAATCTAAAAGAACCTGTCCATCGGCTAGTTCCTTACCACATATTACATCTTACTTCTTGAGAGAAACGGTCATGTTAGGAGACACACGTCTTCACAGAATGAGAACTATAACTATGGAACAAATTTCCCTGATGAAGCTCAGTGAAATGTTGGGAATGATCTATTCAACAACTGTGGTTATTATAGTATTAAAGCTTTTTGTATTTTTTTTCTGAGCTGTGGTGCAAGTATTCTCTTTATGGTTTGCTGTACACAAACAGACACAAAACCAGACAGAGGTGGTGTGTATAAGTATGATACTACACAGTCATTTGTTCCAGATTCAGTGCCAAATCAGCTTGTTTTAAACTCATGTTGCATGTTACAAGAACTAGGTACTGTACTTCTATGTCAAATCACATGTACAGAACTTTAAACATCGCACATTGCAAGACAAAGATCTTAAGGCAAGTGCCATCACCTGAGTGATTAAAATGAAAACAGAAAGAATCAGAGCAGGAGGCAGAAACAGAAGATGCCTAGAAAATCCCCACTCAGCTAGGATTTGACATATTTTCAGAGCACCAAAGAGTAGCTCCAAACAATGATGGGATCTAAGGAACAAGATGGAGGAGGAGGAGGAGATTGGATTTATACCCCGCCCTTCGCTACCTGAAGGAGTCTCAGAGCGACTTACAATCTTCTTTCCGTTCCCCTCCCCACAGCAGACACCTGTGAGGTAGGTGGGGCTGAGAGAGCTCTTTCAAGAACTGCTCGTGAGAGAACAGCGCTGAAGGAACTTGTAACTGACCCAAGTTCACACCAGCAGCTGCATGTGGAGGAGTGGGGAATCAAATCTGGTTCTCCCAGCTTAGAGTCTGCGTTCCTAATCACTACACCAAATTGGCTCTTCTCTCAGAATAGTAACGGGGACGTTCTTAAATTCACGGAATAAATGGACACAATGTTAACTTCAGCTCTTTGTTGAATAGGCTTCTCAAGGGGAACACGTTACATGCAAAATATTGATCAAATTGTACATCTTTTTAAAAAGATGTTTTATTTCAGTCTCCCTTACCTAAGCACTACCAACCCTGGTTTCCAGTGTTTCTGTACCAATGGATCAGGATGATAAAATGAGCTTCCTTACATCCCCCAGATCTAGATATGTCTTCACGCTTGCAAGGTTGAATGTTTTTCCAACTGTAGAGCTAAGTGGCCGTTTTGCTAAAATACAGTACTCAAATAGATTGTGTGATTGTGGATCAGGTGCAATAGAGACCTTAGATCATCTTATGTTATTTTGCCACCAATGGATTGACCCCAGATCCTGCTGGATTACTCCTATTTTACAAAGATATCACCTCCCTATGGAACCCTGGGTGATAACCATACTATTAGCTGATGAGGACCCCGAAACGACTCGCTTGGTGGCAAAATATCTTTCGACAGTGCTATTTTCAAAGCGGCTTTGAAATGTTATAAGTACCTTTTGCATACAATTTTAAAATTTTAAAACTAATTTCCATAATATCATGGGATTTTATAGAATTCATTGAAGTTTATAAAATGTGGTCTGATACTACTGATCGAGGGCATGTTTATTAGCCTTTATTGTAAAGACGTTCTGCCTAAATTTCTTGTAATTTTATGTAATGCGTTTTATAGTTGTTGTTTGCATGTTTGGCTTAAGACCTTGGGTCAATGAAGCTAATAAATGAAATGAAATGGAAACTATATGCTTCTGAACAAGTGCAAAGCACTTAGCAAGTGCAGTCCGCTTGAATGTGTTTAGGGGGACAAGCACAGTGGTGGTGGAAAGTGCCATCAAGTTGCAGCTGACCGACAGCAGCCCCCTGCAGGGGGTTTGGCCATTGCCTGCTTCTCTATAGCGGCACCAGTCTTCCTTGGAGGTCCCCCATCCAAGTATTAACCAGGACCGACCCTACTTAGCTTCTGAAATCTGATGAAATCGTGCTAGCCTGGCCCATCCAGGTCAGGACAGAAGCACCATGACTCCCTGAATATACCTAGGGCTCCCGGGCAGGCTGAGATTCCCGGACCCCTCTTTTTAAAGAGGCAGAACACGGCACAGAGCCACCAAAACCACCAACTGTAATGACCAAAAGGTATATTAAAAATCAGAATTAATTAAAAAAAACCAAACAACCTTGATAATCTATGTGGCGGAACGGGCCTGCTCCGGCTTATAGGCCCTATTCCGCCCTGCCCTCCAAGGTTCTCCCAACACCTGTAGAGGCTTTACCTCTCTCTCCGGTAACCCGCTACCGCCACCTGACCTTTGTAAGGAATTGCCTGCTGGGAGGGTCAGGACTCCCAGCTTCCCTTCCCATATCCGAGGCCTTGCCTCTGTGTCTCCCGCTGCCCAGCACCTGGTCACCACAGGGACAGTTTACTGCCTTGTGCATCTTTGGAAGAATAGCCCCTTGCCAATGGCCTGCTTTTCCCCGGTGCTCCTCTTAAAATACTGTGTCCAAGACAGTGGAGGTCTATGTGGTACAGAGAAGCACTACCAGCACCAAAAGTTATTAAGTATTTATTAAAAAGAAAATGTTCACAAGCATACTTTTAGACTGAGCAAGGGATTCAAAAGAAATTGTTAAAATGCAAATCCTCTGTCCCTCTCTCTATACATGCCCTATCAGGTGCTAAAATATCGGACAGGCTCCTAAAGCTTAGGAAGTCACAAATCTCTACAGAGTATCCATTACCTTGAAGCTTTCTGTAGCTCTCTGGGCCAGCACATGGTTAATGGCCAGCTCCTCCAGACCTCAGCTAAAAGTTCTGTGTGCCCTGATGGATCCAGCACAAAAGAGAACTTCCTCCTTGCTCCCTGAGTTTTATCTCCTCTCTGTTCCCCACCCACTGACCAGGCCAGGCCAGGCCAGTGAAGCTTTTCATGATGTCTCTAGAATTTTCCTTCCTGAAGCCTCTCTAGTATCTAATTCCTCCAAACCTCTGTTCCCTGGGGAAGGGGGAGAGCTTGACCCACCCATTATCTCTCCTGCTAACTCTAGTGGCATTTCTTTAGAGGTAGCTGAGGTGAGCCTGGAAAGCCATTGACTGACTTCCTCCTCCCTGCATATTCTCTGCCCAGAGGGGGATTTTTTTTTTTTAACTCAAAATGAAGGTTTTGCTCATTTTAAACCTCCAAAGAAAAAAAAATGCATTTCTTCACAACCTATGCTAAGGAGCTTGTGAGTGGAGGTACAGCCGACGTTCCAGCGACCCAATGCCCAACTATTTATGCATCGCAAACAAGACCACAGCCTTGGCTGAGCAGCCATCGTTACCTACTTGAACTGTTCCATTAGCTGCACTGCCTGATGCTCCTGGGGATGCCGCCTCATGTGGCATTTCAAACTATTCATATTTGTCGTGGCGAAGTCGCACACTCGACATCTGAAGAGACAACAACGAGTGAATGGTTCCAGACCCGCTGACTCAAGCCGCCAGCACGAGGAAAGAATGATGGGGATTTTGGAAGGATGACCATAGCTTGGGAAGCGGCCTTATATCGAATCAGACAGACCCACAGACCTATCAAGGCCAGTATCGTCTCCTTTGACTGCTAGTGGGTCTCTATGGGCTCAGGTGGAGATCTTTCACATCACTCGCTGCTTGATAATTTTAACTGGAGGTACCGGGGACCAATGTTCCCTCTAAGCTGTGGAATCTTGTGAGCAAAAATCCTACTTTGTGAGCTACAGGCATTAAAGTTGTGAGCGAGCAATTTGGCTGCTGCGTAAATGAGTTTGCCCTGGAGCCATCCTTTCTGAGCGAAGTCGAAAAATGTGTGACCCAGAGGCTAAAAAACTGTGAGCTGGCTCACACTAACTCAGCTTAAGAGGGAACACTGCCAGGGACCGAACCTGGGCCCTTCTGCATGCAAACCAAATGCTCTGCTGGGGACTGGACATGGGACTTTCTGCAAAGTACATGCTCTGCCACTAAGCCACAGCCCCTCCCCTACAAAAAGTTCAAAGGATGTTTAGCTATTTAGGTCTCGTTCTGGAATCTTTATCAATCCAGTTGGCTAAGGATATGCAAGTTGTTTGCCATATAAGGAAGATGTTCAAGTGCTCATTTGTTACAGGCCTTCTGTGGTGCTGCCTTCCTTTAAGAACTTAAGAAGAGCCTTGCTGGATCAGACCAGCGGTCCATCTAGTCCAGCATCCTGTCTCACACAGTGGCCAAAGCAGTGCCTCTGAAGGGCCAACAACAGGGCACAGAGGCCAAGGCCTTCGTAAGAACACAAGAAAAGCCTTGCTGGATCAGACCAATGTTCTATTTAGTCCAGCATCCTGTATCACACAGTAGCCCAACCAATTCCTCTGGACAACCAACAACAGGGCATAGAGGCCAAGGCCTTCCCCTGATGTTGCTTCCTGGATCCGGGATTCAGAGGACTGGTGCCACTGAGCGCGAAGGTTCCCCTGAGTCACCATGGCTAGTAGCCACAGATAGACCTATCCTCCCTGAATCTATCAAATCCCCTTTTAAATTTGTTTATTCCTGTGGCCATCACTACATCCTCTGGCAGCAAATTCCACATTTTAATCACTCTCTGTGTACAGAAGTATTTCCTTTTGTCTGTCCTGAACATACTGCCCATCAGCTTTGTTGGATGCCCTCGCATTCTAGTATTTTGGGAGAGGGAGAAAAAATTGTCAACTCTCTCCACCCCATGCATAATGTTATAAACCTCTATCATGTTCTCCGGTCTTTCCAAACGGAAGAACCAGAGCTGCTGCTTGTGAACAGTGGGATTTTTGGGGAAGTGGCCCTTACTTCCAAAACAATTGGGGCTGCAAACAAATCGAGTCCAGAGTATGACCTGAAGTCACGTGATGCAGCAGGCAGGTCAGGGCCTGGATGGCAGATGTCCCAGGATCTCTTACGTACACCTCCCCAAGTTCTACAGAAGAGGGCAAAATACAGAGGGAGTAAATGAATGACTTCTTTTTATGACTTCTCTACCAAGTGAACTGAAAAATGAAGGAACCGCATGACAAGCTCAAAGATGCTTATGAAGAACGTCGGTGGATTCTAAAAATGCTGTCAGAGTGAATCAGTTAATGACGCATTGCTTCAAAAGTCGGCTGCTTGAAATTGCCCCCCGTTTTCTATCTTTAGAATAGGCAATGGTGGGAGGAAACAACCTTATGGGGAAGAAATTCCTTTAAAAAACAAAACAAAACAAAGTACCCACTTTCATAACCGGGAATACTGAGAAACTCACCGGTACGGTTTGTCAGAGCTGTGAATCCGTCTGTGGTTCCGTACCCCGACGTACGTTGTGCTTGTGTAGTCGCAAGTGTCGCATCTGTAAAGCTTCTGGACTGAAATCCTATCCCCTGTACGGGACACAATAGACGAAGTTTATGTATGCAGAATTACTTTCACTTCAATGCAGAAAGATTCCTTTGTGGATAAAGGCAGCTTATCTTAGCTAGGCTGTAACCTCCCGATCCAAAAGGGTCCCCCGACTCCCCACTTGGAGCTGACCTATAAAGATAGGTTTGAATCAAAAAATATTTGTCATGTTTCTGTTTTCTGATAAAGTAATCAGACCTGGCCCAACGTCACAAGCAAACCAAGAAAGTGGTGCAGTCGGGTCATTTTAAACTTCGGACTGAACTGGTCTTGTGCTTGTACAGGGGAACACAGACGTCAGATGTGAAACTTTAACCTGCTCTCAGGGGCTATCTGCTGATCACTGGATGCGGGAACCCAAAGTCCTGCCTTGACAGCACCACTGACCCCAGCAATTGATCTGATACTTGCAAGACGACCTCCTCTCACATTGTCCAGCCCGCCAGTGAGTCTGCCTTGCAGGGCCTGACCTCTGTGCCCTCGCCTTCAGAGGTGGGATGGGCGGCAACCAGAGATGGGGTATTTTTCAGTAGTGGCCCCTGCAGTGGCTGCTGGTGTGACCTTGGGTCAGTTACAAGTTCTTTCAGAGATGTTCTCTCAGGAGCAGTTCACTAGTGGCCCGACGCCTAGACTGCTTTCTGTTAGGCACCAGGCCAAAATGTTTTTGTTCGCCCAGGCGTTTAACTGTGGAGTTGATCCTTCAGAATTATTCTATCATTTGCTTTAAGTCTGAAGTACACTGTTAAATTCACTGTGTGCTGCTCAACGATTTAATTTTAAATTCTCTGGCTGTTTTTTGGGGTTTTAAAATTTTAATTTTAAATTCTCTGGCTGTTTTTTTGTTTTTGTTTTTTAAATTCTGGGTTTTAATGTGTGACTTCTAATGTTATATTGTTTTGTAAAATGTCAGTGGCGGGTTCCCCAGGAGAGGTGAGGTAAAAATTCCCAAAATAAATTATTTGCAGCCATATTTTTCAGGATACCCAAAGCAACTGGCTGCAACTGAGAGCTGCTTCCCAGGATCCCACAGTTCGGTAGGTGCTCTCAGACGCTGAAGAAGTAGTAGTGTTGTTTTTTTATACCCCTCTTTTCTCTACGCGAAGGGGTCTCAAAGCGGCTTACAGTCGCCTTCCCCTCCTCTTCCCACAACAGTCAGCTTGTGAGGCAGGTGGGGCTGAGAGAGTTCTGAGAGAACTGTGACTGGCCCAAGGTCACCCAGCAGTCTTCATGCACTGGAGGAGTGGGGAATTAAACTCAGTTCTCCAGATTACAATCCGCCACTCTTAACCACTACACCATCCTGGCTCATGCTGCAGGAGATTCTGGGTATTCCTTTTGGATCATGGGGTGTCTCAGCTTGGGATGCCAAATTCTCCTGGGCCAGCTTTTTGAGCAATTAAGCCTTTCATTGCATACAGCAAGAAAGGAAACACCACTTGATGGCAACCAATAATACTGCCCAGATGATAAGTATCGAGTTACCAGCAGCAAGACATTTGCACGCTGTTATATCTGCAATTGCTAGCTTAATTTGTGGCTTTTACAAAATGCAATGGTATATCTGCCTCCCTTCATGCTAATCCTATAAAGTTACGTCCTTCAAAGCCCATTGACTTTGAGGGTGTAACTCTGCTTAGGGCTGGACGGTGAGATCCCTAAATCACTCCTTGGGCAACAGGAAAGTCATGTTTCTTAGAAGGACGTTCACAAGGAGACTTCTACATGCCATTAGAAGAGCGAGCGTTTGTCCCCAAATGAGTCATAGAAGCTTGTTTTATTCTCTAAAGATTCCCTGGATTTGTATAGGTTATCTTTACCAGAAAAAGAAAAGTGAATATTTTCAGAACCTACTCTGAGCTCTGGCAGGCGATGAATAAAATTTGAGTCAGCTGCACATTTCAGCAAGATGATCCCTCTGTGCTGTTACTCAGGTCAAGAGTTTTGAGAATTGCTTCTATCCCCCTTTTTGGGGGGTGGGTGGGGGGGAGGTGTAGAAAGGGAAGAGCCAGCTCCATGATGTATACCAGAGCAACTGATTCCAACTGAATAACAAAAGCAGGTGTTCCTTTAATGCACCTTCTGATGATGGTCCTCTGTTATTAGGCATTTACAAGGCAACTGTATGCAGTAAACACCCTTTATGATTTCATATGTGTGGAATGAACGCTCCCCGCACAGCTCCCTGGCACGAAAACAGATGCTGAGCCATAAACCTCTTGGGGCTCAGGCTGTTTTATAGAGGTGACATCTGTCTGACAAGAGGACTTCCTCCCTGCGACGCTCCTGTAATTTGACTGCCAAGAGCTTCCCAAAGACTTCTGAAAGCTTAAATTCTCATTTAATGAATGCTATTAAAAGCAGAACGTTTGCACTCCAGCCTCATGTTCAACCCTGGCTTTTGATTTATTATTGTTATTTACGGAGAGCTTTAAAATTCAGAAACGACAACCACCGCCGCCCTGAATTCAGAGTTGGGGGGCACTTGCAGCCCTTTTCTTCCTTTTTGCAGACAATTAACAGCATTTCCTTCTGACTTCAGGATTCCCAAAAGGCCAGACCGGCTTCCTTAAAAGGAGGTGTGGGTGGGGGCAAATGCAAGCTTTTTCCTGAACCTTTTTGGCCCAGTTTCAAAGCCTTGAGCTGCTTGGGGGAAAGCACCTTCCTTAGACCATTTTCTATGTGGTGGGTGTAACCTTTAAAGGCTCCCGTCTTACACTGCTCCAGCCTGCAAACAGCATCTCTGCATGCCAGCGTTTTCTGTTCCGGGTCATGTTGGCAGTGACGCTCAGACGCTGCATTTTTTAATCTTAGTAATTTCAGTTGCTGCACGGCGTATCGTGCTGGACAAAGGGTTCTTCAGCAGCCTGCCAATGGGAGGCCGGGACATATAAAATTTGGTGTGGTTCCTGGTGCATTAACAGCCCAAGGTGGCTGCTAGGTCTCAGCCCTCGATGCTCCTACACCTGCATCTTACATCCAAGGACTTGGCATAACCTCAAGTCTCTAAGCACAAATGAACGCTTCCCCACCAACACAAAGTAACACAGGGGGAATGGAGCAGGGAGGCTTCCATTTGTGACCAGCACAGTCACACAGGATCTCAGCCTCCGGCTCCATTTGACTTTGGCAGCAGCACTAGCATGTCTTGAAATAAGTGAGGAGACCTTGCCCAAGTAGATCAACAGAAAAGCAAATTAATGAAAGTGTCAACTTGAAAGTTACATGGAATGTAAGATTTCTATATAGGATTTGTTCCTGAGGAAAGACCAGAGGTCTGAAACACTCAATATCCGGAATAAGTGTTGATTGATTGAATTTGGAGCAGACTGCCTTTAAAAATACAAGACTATTAGAGGGATATAGACTTTGAGAGTCTGGAGCAGACTGCTATGTGAAATGTTATTGACCTTTGTAGCATGCCAACCGTACGGAAGCAAGCTACACTACCTCCTTACTTCTCGAGATTCGGAGATTATTGAATTGACTGCCAAGTTCTTTTATGGTCTTATAAAACGGAAAAATGTCCCTGATCATTCTAATTGAGTTCAATGAGTTTGTATAACTTAATTCAAGGTTTTGCGGTTGGGAAAATTTTTTATCTTGCTATAATTTAAGCTCATACAAATAGACATACCTTTGTAATGTTTTAGAAGTTATCTATTTTTCACAAATTTTATAGGATTGTTTTACCCTATGGCAACTGTTTAATATTTTATGCTAATAAAGGTATTTGTTTGTTGTTTGTATTGACCTTTGTAATTTTTCTGTGAAAGAATAAGTGGTTGTTTTTTTTCATTACCCGACACTAAATGATGTTACGGCTTTAAAACAGTCTCTTTGGTTATTGTATTGTTCTACGGGCACCTAGCACGCATCTGTATATATATATTTTTTCATTTCTGACTGCTCTGGACTATTGCCAGGACTGATCAGTGGAGGACTTGGGGTGGTGGTGCACATGCACACAGAGATGAGCACATGAAGCTGCCTTGTACTAAACTAGCGCTATCGTCAAAATCCAGTGCTATCGTCAAACAAGTCAAAAAGACAGACAGTACCAACACTTTCATCCATTTCGCTGCAGGTTATCAGTTTGTTAGACGACGATGTCGAATACACCTCTGGAAGGCTGTGCTGCTCCCGCTCATGGCTTCGTAGCTGACTCTGGAATACCAAAACAAAGAGCGAGAGATGTTAAAGAGAAAGTTTGTTACGGAGCGGTAAATCCCTGGCACTGAACTTGTAACTACTGTTTTCACATTGCATCCACTTCATCCCTTCCACCAAGCAAGGTGCTGTGACTCTCTTCCACAGGTTTCCCTTCAGGGTCTTCCGCTGACTCTTCGGTATCAAAGGGACACTTAGCAAAAAGAACTCATCAGAACTAAACCTTTATGTCAAGTGTTACCTGTTTTTTCTTATACGTCAGGCATGTACGTACGCAAGGGCTCTCATGTCACAACCAACTTATGGTGACCCCAGCAAAAGGATTTCAAAGCAAGTGAGAAGCAGAGATGGTATGCCATTGCCTTCCTCCGCAGAGCCTTCCTTGGTGGTCTCCCGTCCAAGAACTTCTGAGATATCTGATACGACAGGGCAATGCCATGCTGCCTTCCCTCACTATATGTCAGGGAGCCCAAACAAATGGCAGCGAGTTTACAACTGAAATAGACTTTAAGAGAGTTTAACAGCATGCTTGGAGACTATGGAGGTGGTACAAGTCTTCGTTTCTTGAAGCTTTATTGGCTGCAAGAGAGAACTGGGAAAACCGGGTTTGATTCCCCACTCTTCCACATGCAGTTGCTAGTGTGATCTTGGGCCAGTCATAGGTTCTTTCAGAGCTGTTCTCTCAAGAGCTGTCTCAGCCCTGCCTACCTCACAGGGGGGAGGGGAAACGGGAGTGTAAGCTGCTCTGAGACTCCTTCAGGTAGTGAAGGGCGGGGTATAAATCCAATCTCTTCTTCTTTTTGTTTACAGAATTAAGCAAAATAGGACGGGCCAAAACAATATCTGTTATTCAGGACAAATGTTTGCTGAGACTTGCAAGGTTCTATCTCCCACCCTGAGATTTGCAGGAGAGTCTCTCCTCTATAAGGAGCTGCGGTGGCTCAAGTGGTTAAGACACTGAACTGCAGGCTGTGGAAGGTCAGTAGTTCAGCAGTTCGAGACCCGGGTGCCGCATGATGGAGTGAGCTCCCATCTCTAGTTCCAGCTCCTGCCAACCTAGCAGTTCGAAAGCAAGAAATTGCAAGTAGATAAATAGGTACCGCTTCGGTGGGAAGGGAACAGCGTTCTGTGCGCCTTGGTGTTTAGTCATGCCGGCCACATGACTACGGAAATGTCTCCGGACAGCGCTGGCTCTTTGGCTTTGAAACGGAGATGAGCACCGCAACCCTAGAGTCGGATTCGACTGGCTTTCGAGCAAGGGAACCTTTACCTTTACCTCTCCTCTATATACCCAATGCCACTGAACTGTCAAAGGGCAAAGGAAAAAACATTTTCCATTACAGCCATTATAGAAAATCCTTCCCAAGGAAGTCTTCAGTGGCTGCCATAGTTAACGTTTAGTACTCCAGTGCATTTGCCTTCCAAAAAGGCTGACCGTCTCAGTACCCTGCCGTGGAGTCCACAGAAATGGTTTGAAGACTTTATAAAATTACATTTATGGCTAGACTGCCTATGGAAATTCAGTTTTGCACATCCATTTCCTTTATTTTCAGCCTTTACCCTTAAGGGATTTTTTTTTTTGGGGGGGGATTGGCATTTGCTGATCACTAAAGCTTGGAAGAAAAAAAAGTCAACGGACTTATGTTGACTGCTAATATTTAGCAAGCAAGCAACACTGTTCTCTTTTGAAGAAAATCTGTTCGACCCTCGACTGGTACCGTAATGATGATCACTTCTGAAGAGGTGCACGTGCACACAAAAGCTTATGCCCAGAATTAAACTTTGTTGGTCTTAAAGATGCCCCCGGACTCAAACTCTGTTCTGTTGAGTCAGACCATCACAGCTACCCCACCTGAATCGACACTTCTACATGCTTAGGCTTTAACCCTGAGTAGGGTTTTTAAAGCGTTGTGCGACAGTTCTGAGCGCATTTATCAAAACATCACATAAAGAAGGTCTAAGATACAACATCAAAGAGTACGCCACTGGTTGAGAACAGCGAGATCTGAGTCCGGTAGCACCTTAGAGACCAACACGATTTACGGAAATAAGCTTTTGAGAGTGAAAGTCCCCTTCATCGCATAGGCTTCTGACTCTCAAAAGCTTATACCCTGAACATCTTGTTGGTCGCCAACATACTACTGGACTCAAATCTAGCTCTCCTACCGCAGACCAACATGGCTAGCCCCTGAAACTATCTTCATGGCTGAGAAGGCTGCTTCATGGCAGCTTTTTTTATAATCACTCTCTACTGCAGGCTGTGGAAAGTCAGTAGTTCAGCAGTTCAAGACCCGAGTGTGCCGCATGACGGAGTGAGCTCCCGTCTCTAGTTCCAGCTCCTGCCAACCTAGCGGTTCAAAAGCAAGAAATTGCAAGTAGATAAATAGGGACCGCTTTGGTGGGAAGGTAATAGCGTTCCGTGCACCTTGGTGTTTAGTCATGCCGGCCACATGACCTCGGAAACGTCTTCGGACAGCGCTGGCTCTTCGGCTTTGAAACGGAGATGAGCACTGCAACCCTAGAGTCGGATTGGACTGGCTTTCGAGCAAGGGAACCTTTACCTACCAGTTGAAGCCGGAATTTTACCTGTTGTAACACAGCAGGCTGACTCCAACACAACATAGGCAGAAACCTAGCTCGGACCATGCTGCCTCCTTGACCCACCCCGTTGGATAAATCGCATAAGCTTTGGCTCCTTTCTCAGCCTTGGATTTCAGGGGCCTTTACTCTGGCATCGAAGGTCACCGGGGACTCCAATGCTGGTGCTCCCCATAGTGCCTCTTGTTGTTCAGTCGCACAGTCGAGTCCGACTCTTCGCGACCCCATGGACCAGATCCCGCCAGGCCCTCCTGTTTTCCGCCGTCCTCTGAAGTTTGCTCAATTTCATGTTCGTTGCATCGATGACACTGTCTAACCATCTCATCCTTTGCCGTCCCCCTCTTCTTTGACCTTAGTGCCTCTGGTACAACCTATACACAGGTCGCTTACCATGCCTTTGCTACAGCAAGCGACCATCTTCTGATCCATTATCTTGAAAGCGACCGAGAGTACCGCCGCCGACAACATCAGAAGAATGCAGAAGCCAGAGTCACTCACCTTGTAATGAAAGGACTCCTCGCACTGTTTGCACTGGTACATCCGGGTCTTGCAGTGGTTGATCATGTGGCTTTCTAAGTCCTTGCTGTTGTCCGCGATATGCTCGCAGATCGGGCACTGGTAGGGCTGCCTCTGGCGGTGGACCCGTAGATGTTGCTTGATGTAGCCCTTGTTGCCGCTGCTGTAGTGGCACAAGCGGCACCGGAAGGGACGATCCACATTGGGGATGTATTCTACCAAGTTGCTTCCCAGTACGTTGGCGTCCATCGCAGACTGGCATTGCACGTTGTCTTGCAGCTCTTTCAGGATGTCGTCGTCGGAGGCATTCTGGTCTGTCCTCTCTTTCAGCTTCTCAATCACGGTGAGCAGCGACATGCTGATGCCCATTTTCATGGGGCCCTCAGCTAACTCCTGTTTATCCTTCTGTATCTCCACAAAAGTGCAGTCGGCTTGGTTTAGGCCAGGCAACTCCTCCGCTTTAAGGGAAGTGACCAGTTTAGAATGGGACGGGTAGCTGCCCTCGGTCTGCCGTTGACCCGTATCCGAGCCTAAAGAGTTTGCCTCCGCAAAGGCCCGGAGGCTCGACCGGGTTAGCTCCGCGGCTCTGATAGGCATCGTAACCAGAGCTTCTGCGGCTAGGGAGTGCAGCCTCAAGGACTCGGAGTTGGTTCTCCTTCGTGTGGGAGGGGCATTTTCATCAACCGCTCTAGCCCTCCCGGGGCTTAAGTCGGCATCTTTCTTCTCCGTGCTGCTCCATCCTATTATCACTTCTTCAAGGTCGACAGAATTTTTGTCCATATGGAACACGTCCCCCGACCCATCGCGAGCAACCCAGCTCTGTTCGGTGATGATCTTCTTCTCAGTCTCCATATCAGCGCCCGTCAAGTAAGCCTTCTGTAGGACGGGTTCTTCGGCGCTCGGCAAACGTTCCACTATGACGTTGACGTGGCCTTTCTTGTTCGGGCTGCAGTTAATGATCTTCTGGGCCGATGACAGCAGGCTCTCACTTACCAAATTATCTTGTTCCAGATCGGTGTCCGACAGAGCCTCCTCTGAGAGTTTTCCCTGGGGAGAAAGTGGAGCTGACTGACTCACGACCGCTTCCTGTTTTACAGTTTCTTCCACGGGTGATGGCTTGTATGTCGTTTGCTCTGGGCTGCACAGATGGAGCTGAACGGCCTGGTCGCTGGAGAGATCGAGCTTGCTATTTTCTAGCGCAAGGACGACGGTGTCGACGTTGTGAGGAACGCCCGACGCGGTGGAATCCGGTAACGCGGCTTGCTCGTTTTCATCTTCAAATATAGGATATGAGCAATCGACTTCCCCGGCATGCTTCCAAGCGTGCGTTTTCAACATTCTTTGCTGGCCACAAGTGTAGCTACAAATTAAGCAGCGGTAGATGCCGTATTGCTCATAAGTGTACCATTTTCGCCTCCCCTTCTCTGTCAGAGGAGGAGACTGAAGCTGTGCCACCAGATCAGGGCCCGCTTTGACAAAACTTTCCACTGGCCCATGCACAGCAGTACCAGAGAGACTCATACATTGCTGCTCTTTCGATGGAGCGAGGATTTTGTCATCATTGTCTGGGTGACATCTCACATGAGTTTCAAATTCTTCTAGGCTTACAGTGGCAAAGTTACATATGGAGCACATGAGTATTACCTCATTCTGCTGACCATGTTGTTTCAGGTGTTCTTTTAAAAGATGGAGAGAGGGAGACAGGGACTTGCAAAGGCTACACTGGTAGCAAACCACTTTCCTCTTACTCTGTGGGGGACAGTCAGTCATGTAATAGTCTTCGATATTTATTGTGCCCAGGGCGGGCAATTCAACTGCTTTAGCGGGGATCTCCGGGAGGTCTTGTGAGTCAACTGAAAGCACAGCGGCTTCCGGATGTAAACGCTTCTTCCCTATCAGAAGGCATTTCTGGGACTTCTCATTCTCAACAATTCTGCTTAGCTTTTGGATGACCTGGATTAGCGGATCAGGGTTACACTTCCTTTGGTCTTCACCACTTTCCAAGGGCGGGCTGAGGATGGCCTCGGAAATCACTACAGCTTCCTGTTCCCCAATGCTTGAGACTAATGCTGCGATATTGCTTCCTTCTTCCATAATACCTGAAAACAATTTGGGGGGGGGGGAAGACGTTGGTTACAAAATGAAATGCCAAACCTGATGAGCACAAAGACTAGTCATATTTCTACAATACGATCCTAAACGTGTCACTTCAATGGGTTGGACCCCAATGGCTTCCCTTTTGGCAAATGAGCAATCGTCCCTCAGAAGAGGGAGCTGTCCTCCTACCAATGGAACAGGGGTCCACAAATGTTTTCAGCCTGCAGGCACCTTTGGAATTGACACACTTGGTGGTGGGTGCAACCACCAAATGGGTACCACAGGAAGTAGAGTCACACATATACAGGAAGCCCTGCTGGGCAAGACCCCCACCTGGTCCCAGCCACTTTCTAAAAACACTTGGCAAGCTCCAGGAAAGGTATCAGCGGGTACCACGGCACCCACGGGCAATGGAAGGACTCCTCTCATCTAGAGAAAGCACTTTGGCTCAGTGGCAGAACACTTGGCTTTTTCACGCAGAAGGTTCCAGAAGGTCCAATCATGGGAATTCCAGTCTAAAGGTTGTCCAACAATGACAGTGTTGGGGAGGGGAACCCTCTCTGCCTGCAACCCTCAAGACGGCTGAGCCATAGGGACCAATCACCTGACTGGGTATAAGGAAGTTTCATCGCTTTGGCTGAAGATTCCTTATTAGAAGTGAGACATGGGGGCCAACCCATCAGGTCTTGTTTTCAGACAAACAGTCTCTGGATTATTGTCTCAGACACCAATAACATACCTTCAACTTATGCAAACTCTACCAGTTTCACTGACTTTCCAGTTTGGTGTAGTGGTTAAGTGCGTGGACTCTAATCTGGGAGAACAGGGTTTGATTCCCCACTCCTCCACTTGCACCTGGCTGGATGACCTTGGGCAAGCCGTAGTTCTGATAAGAGCTCTCCTTGCAAAAGAGCAGTTTCTGTCAAGCGCTCTCTCAGCCCCACCTACCTCACAGGGTGTCTGTTGTGGGGAGGGGAAGGGAAAGGAGTTTGTAAGCCGCTCTGAGACTCCTTTGGGTAGTGAAGGGCGGGGTATAAATCCAATCTCTTCTTCTTCTTTTACCTCACAGGGAGTCTGTTGTGGGGAGGGGAAGGGAAAGGAGTTTGTAAGCCGCTCTGAGACTCCTTTGGGTAGTGAAGGGCGGGGTATAAATCCAATCTCTTCTTCTTCTTCTTCACTCCATTTAACTGACTCTTCAACATTTCTTAAGACCCTTACATGAATCTGTTTTCAAGATGAGATATACGACAAATTCTGGAGCCCACTGCAATATATATATATATATATATATGCACCCTATTTCATTATAGTTGCTTTGCATTTGAACACATGAATGCGTGCTCCTTCAAAAAGCAGCCTTCCACAGCGAGGGGCTGTTCTCTTTAACAGATCTGGAAGGAGAGAGCTGTATGCTAGCCTTCCTTCTCAGCAATCCCAACACTTGCCTCCAGGTCAAAGTAGACATGAAGCAGGAAACTGTGCTTAGGATCTCACCCTGTGCTTAGGATTCTCAAGACGGTGGAATAAAAATGAGAGGACATTTAACTATTTCTTCTTGTGACTTTCTCCTGTTTCCTTTTGACCCTTCTGAAGCTGCATTTTATTCCATACGGTTAAAAATAAGACAGGAATTACTTTTCCTCATAGCTCTAACTACAGCTGTGGGAATTGGGTGACCTACACCACGGAAAAGAAGGGCTGGCCATCAGTGTTCCCTCTAAGCTGAGATAGTGTGAGCTAGCTCACAGTTTTTTAGCCTCTGGCTCACACATTTGTGTCTTAGCTCAGTAAGGATGGCTTAAGAGCAAACTAATTTATGCAGCAGCCAAATCGTTTGCTCACAACTTTAATGCCAGTAGCTCATAAAGTAGAATTTTTGCTCACAAGACTCCACAGCTTAGAGGGAACATTGCTGGCCATACACCCTCTCATCCACCAACCCTCCCCCAGTTTTCAGAGCTAGTGGCTACTAATTTGTGTGTGTGTGTGTGTGTGTAAATTACAGAGTCAAGTCGCTTCCGACTTATGGTGACCCTATGAATGAATGACCTTCAAAATGTCCTATCATCAACAGCCCGGCTCAGTTCCTGCAAGCGGAGGGCCGTGGCGTCCCTGACTGAGTCAACGCATCTCGTGTTGGGTCTTCCTCTTTTTCTGCCGCCTTCAACTTTTCCTAGCATTATTGCCTTTCCCAGTGAATCTTGTCTTCTTGTAATGTGGGCAAAGTACAACAGCCTCAGTTTAGTTATTTTAACTTAAAGCAAGGACAAATAGATTTAAAAAATAGTTTTTATTCGAGAGCTATTATTGCCTTAAAGGCTGTATGAAATTGGAATTTGGGTGACATTGGTGGTTTTAAGTTGCTATGTGAACCTTAAGGGAGTTATGGGACAGTAGTGAATGGTGTGTGAGTGTATATGAATATTGTTGTAGATCACCGAAATGATTGCATCTTTAATTTCGTTGTACTATGTACAATGACAATAAAGTATATTATTGTTGTTGTTGTTATTATTGTTATTATTATTCTAGGGAGCGCTCAGGCTTGATTTGATCTAGAACCAACTTTCTAGATCAACTTCCTTCCTACTAATTAGCTTCTAAACAAAAGGCAAAAGGTCCTAATGTTGGATCATCCCCATCAGGTCTATTTTGAAGTTTTGCTGGGCTTGGGCTTTATTATAGCAGAGGCACACAGTGATGACATCATTCCTAGATGCCAATGCTGTATCCTCATTCTGTGCATCTTTTGATCTCTTACAAGTGACCTAGGAGTTCCTTTCAGTTAGCAAACTGACCCCCCCACACACACACACACACAAGCAGGAAACAGACGCGAGAAAATTAATTTGGCATAGACTGGAATGGTTAAGCATTCAATCCAATCGGCTGACAAAATATTTCGAAATGGTTTAGATGCTTGAGATGACTGTGGCTCAAAAACCAATCCCAGCAATAATTGTATCTAATTCATGTATACCCTGCCTTTCTCCCCAAAAGGGACCCAAAGCGACTTCCATCATTCTCCTCTCTTCCATTTTATCTTCACAACAGTCCTGCGAGGCAAGTTAGGCTGAGAGACCCTAGCCCATTGCTCCAACCACTACACTATACTTTTTTGCCGTCAAGTTACAGCTGATTTAGGGCTTTTTGAAAGCAAGAGGCTTTTAGAGGTGGTTTGCCATCACCTGCCTCCACGTCAAGATCCTGGTATTCCTCGGTGGTCTCCCATCCAAGTAGTAACCAGGGCTGACCCTGCTTAGCTTCTGAGATCTGACGAGATCAGGCTAGCCTGGGCTATCAAGGTCAGGGATACTCAACCACACTGGCTCTCAATCAACCACAACTATGACATTTAGGCATAGCCTGTAAGAACTATGATGTACTTTCAGGTGGCTTTGTTTAGGCTGGAAGGATCGCAATGTGGCCAAACCACACAGTGCAAGCTCAGTATGCTTCAGTAGCAGAAACTGATCTGAAAAACACTCTTGCGAGACTGAAAAATTCTCCAATTATCCCCAGCCCTGCAAGACAAGCTTTGCCATGCATTTCACACTTTAAAGCCTGTAAGTGATTGTTCAGCTTGGCACGGAATGTATTTAATTTTGCAGACTGATTTACCGCAAACACGATGCCACTAAAGAAGCACAAGTAAATGTGTGTCTGTCCCCACCCTCCATGGTGTGAAAACGGTAGAAAAGTCTCCAGCCACAAGTGCCTTCATTTAGTTCACACCACAGTGACAACAGAATGACAACCCGGGAATAAGATGACATTATAGTATGACAGTTATTTCTTAAGATTTAGGCGGATTTTTAAATAACACGATTTTGGATCAAATAAGAAGAAAATGCATCAGTATTTCGTTTTTAAATCTAAGTACAGAAGCTATTTCATAATACTTCCAACAGGTGCTGTGCTCAGCCAAATATTCTCACACATGTCAGAATAATTTTCAGCCTTCAAAATGCACATGCTCATTTCGGGTGTCTGTTGAAATAAGAGCATTGCCTGTGAAACCTCCTGGCACTGGAAACAACTGACAGTCCAATCCCAAACAGGCTCTCACCCTTCTAAGCCTGCTGAACTCACTCTGCTCCATTCCTGCAGGCACTTGTTAGAAAGGTGCAGCTTACTGAGAGACCATTTAAGCTTCTCTCACCTGGATCACCCTGCATTCAAAATGTTCCACTCCTCAATTTTTCTTATTGAGAGATAAGGGGCATTAGAAACAGTGTTTCTGATCTTTCAGAATGAAAAGTAACTGTATGTGTGTATACATGTGGGATTTTGAATGAAGGACAATCTGGGAAAGAAAAGGCCTTTCGCCCTCACACACCACTGGTCCTACCTACATACAGCCAGAACTCACAGACTGCCGCTTTATCTGAGAAGAAGAGATTGGATTTATACCCCGCCCTTCACTACCCAAAGGTGTCTCAGAGCGGCTTACAAACTCCTTTCCCTTCCCCTCCCCACAACAGACACCCTGTGAGGTAGGTGGGGCTGAGAGAACTCTTTACAGAAACTGCTCTTTTTCAAGAACAGCTGTGCCAGAGTTATTGCTTGCCCAAGGTCATCCAGCCAGCTGCAAGTGGAGGAGTGGGGAATCAAACCCAGTTCTCCCAGATTAGAGTCCGCGCACTTAACCACTACACCGAACTGGCTCTCTCCCCTTGAAGGAAAGAAAAGAAACCCTTGAAGGAAGTGAATAACAAAATGATACAAAATATATCATTCTGACCACAGTTATACGTTCATAATCAGCACTGGTTTCAGGGGAACTTGTGTGCAGGTAACTGAACATCAGATTGCAGTCACTATAATTAAGGGCAGTGGCATGCCCTAACGAGGAATATCCCACAAGCAAAAGCAGCTATAAGACCAGATTAATGAATTATTAGGTGATTTGGAACTCGCATTTGGTTTTGGTTTTTCTGGCAATCAAAACATCCTCCTGTAATCCTTACAACAGGTCCGTAAGGTAGGTTGGCATTCTTAGCCCTGTACTGTAGACAGGGGACCGAAGCTGAGAGACATTCTCTTCTTCATCTAATAATTTTTATTGGATTTCCAATCAAGTTTACATACACAACAATTACAAATTGACATTCTTATTGAGCTCAGTGGGACTGACTTCTGAGTATACAAGTTTAGGATTGCACTGCAAATCACAGTTCTCTTGGCGCCTGATCACCTCTTTTGTCAAAGAACATACCCTTCAAATGATTTCTGATATCGTGCATTTTAAATACTACTATATCTCACAATCAACAATTTGTTTTTGCACAACTTAAAGCAGGGAGCAAGCTTAATTTTTTTTTTTTTGGCACCAAGTAACAGCTGATTTATAGCGACCTCGTTGGGTTTTCAAGACAAGAGACGTTCAGAGGTGGTTTGCCACTGCCTGGCTCTGCACAGCAATCCTGGACTTCCTTGGAGGTCTCCCATCCAAATACTAACCAGGGCCGCCCCTGCTTAGTTTCCGAGATCCAATGAGATGAGCCCCTAGCCCAGGGGTGGCCAAACTTGCTTAACCTAACAGCCACATAGAATAAACTTCATATCTGAGAGCTGCAAGACATGAGCAAATATTACACACATGTTTTTTATTGAAAAATAGACAAATTTGCTTTTTATTACCATTAAGTTAGACTGTGCAAAAGAGCCACTTGTGGCTCCCGAGCTACAGTTTGGCCACCCCTGCCCTAGCCTATCTAAGTCAGGGCAAGCATTCTTAATACACAGTAGTATAGAAGGAACTTTTTTCCAGCAACATTTAGCTTTCCACAAAAAGGAAGAACCTTTCTTTGTTTAATCTTAAGAAGCCTGCTATTAACACAACCATCCGAAACTCTAGAATGATAAAGGCTTTTTTAGTCTGCTGTGACATTCTGGTATTGAGAAAAGCGTTAATGGTGTTCCTTTCACAACACACTTGAGGAAGGGTGCCGGGAAAAGTGCTTCCAGTTCCTTCATTTGCACTTTACGCTTCCAGTGAGATAGATAACCAGAGATCTTATTACCATTTCCAACTCAGAATCAGAAAATGTGCGTGTGTGTGTGGAGGAAGAGAATAGAATTCTCTTCTGAGTTCACAAGAAGGCTGTGATAACCAACAAGTTGCAGTGGGTATAAAACAAGTAGACCAGAAGTGGGGAAAGACTCAGGGGAATGAAAGGAAATCCGATTCAGGAAATGACAGTTCTGAAGTAAGGTGTGCATTCAATTAAAGAAAGAAAGGAAGAACTCAGCAGTACTGGCTTTACATGGGAACACTGAGGACTGAAATTCCAACTTAGCCTCAGCGTTTATTGGATACCCCTTAGGACCTGTCCTCTTCCTCTCAATCTGCTGCAAGGATCAGATAGGTTTTGTAAAGCACATCCGTACAAAATGTACTATTAACATTACATCTTTCTCAAGCTACTTTCCTGGGCAATTTTTAAAAATGTATCCCTCTATTTTAAATCCCTGATAGTTATTTCAGGAGTTTTCTTTCAAAGAAATGGAAGGTAAAACACAAGAATGTCTGATAGCCAACAAGTATAATAAATTACAACTTACAAACAAAGGAGCAGAGAAGGGGAGAGCCTCAGGGGAACCTCTCTAGCTTTAGGGGACTAATTGGCTGGGAGGGAGAAGGAAGATAATTGTGCATGTGGGTAACTGAGCTGAAGTTGAGGGGAATCAGAGAAGACAGACAAAGATTGCTAGTAGGTCCACTACAAATAAAGTCCCCAAGGAGCAGTAGCATAATCCATTTTTTAAAGAAGTAACTACAGGAACAAGACAGAAATTTCCCCCCTAAGCTTCAAGGATGTTCGTAGGGCTGAAAGGGACTAACACCATGCATAGTGGATATGTAAACCTTCTTACACTCTAAGCTTATTGAGGCAGGGATTTTACTATTTTCCCATCAACATGGCTAGTGCTCCACAGAGGAATAAATAAAATGGATCTGCAGCAGTGTGTGTGTGTGTGTGTGAGAGAGAGAGAATTAGAACAGGTGCTCCAGCAGAACTAGAGGAACACCTGCTCCTCTTCATGCCAGGTTAACACGGCTTTTCCAAGTAAGCACTCTTAAGGAGGGGCACTTTATTAAGCAAAAACAAGGGAGGGGAAAATCTTGTGGCACTTTGAAGACAAACATGGTTAATATTTCCCCTAACCCCCAAATGTCACAGCAGATTAAAACCGTATCGCTCTAGAGCTTTCCACTGCTGCGTCAATAGCGCATTTCTTAAGATTAAACACAAAAAGTTCTTCCTTTTATGGAAGAAAGCGAAATGCTGCTGCTAAGAGCTTCTTTCTCTACCCAATGTACTTATGTATTAGATATTCTTGAGTCCCAGGCTTCCACTGACTAGAGCCCATGTCAGAAATATGAAACATCCACCAGCAGTATGTGGTACTTAGATTCGAGCCCAGCAGCACCTTAAAGACTTGACTTCTGAACGCTTACATCCTGAAACTCTTGTTGGTTTCTAAGGTGCTACTGGGCTCAAATCTAACTGCTCTACTTCAGGGAAACACGCCCATTTGCTGAAACTGACAGTGTGTGGCTATAAGTATGCATAGGGCGGGGGGAGAGAAACCGTAGACCAGTTTTGGTGCCACACGCTCTGTGATCTTTCTATACGTTTTGCAAGATAAGTACAGCCACAGCTTGCAAGAGCGGATAACAAGATCTATAGATGAGATAGAATCTACTAACTGAGGTTAATACTTCACGACTTTTGATGTGGACTCCGGTCCACAGACCCTCTTGGAACGATATATCTGACCGTCATTCAGATGTCTCAAGACTCTCTTCCTCCTTTGGGGGGGTCAAGCTCTGAGGGGAGGCTCAGAGGACTTCCCAAAAGGGGGGGAATCATCACGAAAAGGCCCCCTCCCGCACTCCCGGAGACCTTGAAAAGCGCCTTCCGCTCTTCGCCGCTCGCCCCCTCCCTGCCCCACCGCCTCCTCCCGCCCCCAGATCCCCCGCCTCTAACCGCGCCGCCCTCTCACCCACCTGCCCCCAAGAACAAACGATACGAATGTCCCTTTTCCTCCCTGCTTCCTTTCGGGAGAAGCACCGCTTCAAGATGGCGACGATGGGCGCGGGATCACGTGACCCGCGGAGCCCGATCAGGTGACCCGCGAGGGGAAAGTGTCCTCTCACTTTCCGCCCCGCCTCCTTTGCCCGCCTGTTACTATGGCGACCGTGGCGCGACTGTGCCAGTGCTCGGGAGGGTATTCGGGCTTCTCCTCCGAGGCTTGAACGGGGGTGACAGGCCGAAATTCGCCAGGTGCCGCTTCAGAACGGAGCTCCCAGGAGAGGAGGGAAAGGCTTCTTGCAGAGGAGAGAAAGGCACATTGTTATGTATTAAAACAAACAAACTGGACTGGACATCACCCGCTGGACCATGCCAGCGCATTGGCCCTTGCCTCCACATATCTTTTGGACTGCGCTGCACAATAATTCACGACCAGGTTTTCCCTCAGCGGGCAAAACAATCCTAGAGGTGAATGTCTGCTACAGTGCAACCACAGCACAAGTTCCAGGGGGATGCTGCAGCACATGGGCTCGAATGGGGCTTTGCTGTGCCACAAACCTGTCTCTGGTCGGTCACACAGGCCGGATATGGGGGGGGGCGTGGCTAATTGCCCCAGCGCAGTTTGATGCGCGATTACGCAATCAGACGCACCGGTGCGGGTCCTTCCCTCGGCGCCGGCGGGTAAACGAGGGACCGGAGGGGAATGCACGCGCGATCACACCACGAATGTCTGGAGGCAGCCCGTGGCAAACATTTACTAGTACCTTTGAGGTACTAGTTTTTTAAGGCGCATTGTCTGCGGTAAGCCACGGGTGCGCTCCACTTCCCAGATGTTGGGGTGTGATCGCGCCTGGATAATCCGCCCACCCTCCGTGCCTCTCCCGCGGCAACTTTGCTGTGTGACCGGGGCCTCAGTTGCTTTTACCACCCCAAGCCTCATGGCTTTTTGCCAGGCTCCTCTGCAACCTGTGGTGGAGTCAGGCAGGGAGTGCCAGTCTAGTGAGGCGATGAGCCGGTTTCCAGATAACTGCTTCAGGTGGCATAATGCGGGGAGACTTGATGCCTTCCCAGTGGCATTAGAGGGGACTGGCACCTTCTGCTGAGCCTGTGCTGCCTCAGAGTTTGCTTGGACACAGATGGCGTGGGCCTAGGGTTGTTAGGTCCCTCCTGGCTACCAGCAGGGGATGGTGGGGTAGAGTTGCCAAATCCATGCTGGGGAACTCCTCTAGATTTGGGGATGGAGCCTGGGGAGGACAGGGACCTTAGTGGGCTACAATGCCATAGAGTCCACCCCCCAAAGCATCCATGTTCTCCAGGGGAACTGACCTCTGTAGTCTGGAGATGAGCTGTAATTCCAGGGGATCCCCAGGTCCCGCCTGGAGGCTGGCAACCCTACACGGGCCTTAAGGGGATGGACATAACTTGCTTGGGGCAACAAAATACCCTGAACTGACCCCGAGACAATGACTGTTTCAAGCCATAGTGGCACAAGCTGTGACAGGTGGGTTCTCCTATACTGCTGCCAGTCTGGTGACCCTTGGGAGACTTAGGTATTGAACTGGTTCTTCTTCCCCATTTCCCACCGGCTACCTTAAGACAGTAGCAATCGAAACAACACTCCCTCCCACACAGCTGCTGCTGGAAACATATTTCCCAATGTTAAATACTGGGTTCTAGATGCATTGCAGTGATCAGCTCTAGTTTATTAAGTGATTTCAGCAAACTACAAGGACAGCTAGCAGGGCTTGAGCCCTGCTTATAAAGCGTGCAAACACCACACCCAACACACACCCACTCCCAGTGACAGGCTATTTACATTACACCGCTTACCTATTGGTTTGTTCCTGGATCCAGGCGAGCTATTGTTCTAGAGAAGCAAGCTCAACCCGTTCTAGATACAGCTTGAGGAATGGCTTTAGGCTCAGTACATAACACCCAAAATGAACCATACGCCTTCTTCCCTTGTGCATTTTCTCAAACCTTCCATGCAGGGAGGAAATGTACTTTCCCAGTGACATTTTATTCCTTATAACCTCACATGTTTCTCTATTGCCAAAGTTCAAGAGTGCCCTAACAACAACTGGGGAAATCCACAAGTAAGGCTAACCTGCTATGCATACATTGTTTGCTTAAACCTAAACATATACACCATCCACAAGGCAGCGAATAAATAATCAGTGATAGCTAGAATAAGTCGAGTAGGTTGTTATAGTTGCTTTTTAAGCCACCATCTTGACAGGGCTTTTTTTGTAGAAAAAGCCCAGCAGGAAAAATGCATTAGCATAATAGGCCACACCCAACAGGAGAAACTCATTAGCATATTAGGCCACACCCTGACAGTGCAGCTCACTAGCATATTAGGCCACACCCCATGGCTTCCCCCTTGGTTAGCCTGGGCGCCCCGCGGCTCCGGGGAACCTGGGCAAGCCAGTCCTTGGAGGGAAGGGAAGGCAATTTAATCTGCTTTCCCTTGGGTTGCCCGGGCCAGGCGCCCCACGGCTGCAGGGAGCCTGTGCAAGCTGGCCCTTGGACAGGCCGGGGAAGGCACGGGGAGGCATTTAAATTCCTCCCCGATCCTTCCAGGGCCCCCCCTGGCCTGCCCGCCTCGGAGTCACGGGGGGGTCGCTCTCCAGGCCTTCCCTCTGTAGCCATGCATGCAGAGGTTTTGGCTGTAGTGGGCGTGGCCAAATCTGAAGCCAGTCAGAACTCCGTTCCTGTGCGTTCCTGCCCAAAAATAGCCCTGGTGATAGTTATTTTCAAACTGTTAAAACCAACAAGTACAAATCTTAACATTGTTTAACATAGCAGTAACCAGGCCTGTAGCTACAGTGGGGCCTCTCGGGGCCCAGCCCCCTCACCACCAAGGCTCCCTGACTTTCCATCTAGCCCAAGCCCAACTTCCAATTTTTTATTTTATTTATGGCGCTCGCTTGGGTGTATGTGTGCAAGTGCCCCCTGACTTATTTAAAGGCCTCCCAAATTAAAAAAAATCCTGGCTACAGGCCTGCCAATAACTGTGCACAGTGAGAAAAGATGTGCCTATGCAACTGCAGGTTAGGGTGGGGGAAAGAAACCAAAACCCTTGGGAAAAGATCAGCGTCCTTGCTGCTCTTCTAAACCCACAGCTATCCTATCCTCACTTCCTAGTGTTCTACTGCTTAGCAGGCTTCTCCTCCTAGTAAACACGCAGAGGATTGGACTTCAGCTGCATTTATGGAAGCGTCATATTCAAGGCTGTATTTATATGGCTACGGCTCAGAGCTAGGGCATCTGCTTGGCATAAAGAAGGCCCCAGGTCCAGTCACCGGCATCTCCAGCTAAAAGGATCAGGTAGTAGGTGATGTGAAAGGCCTCAGCCTGAGACCCTGTGGGGACCCACTGCCAATCAGAGCAGACAATACTGACAATACTGATGGATGGTTTGATTCAGTATAAGGCAGCTTCATGTATATGTACTGTTACGAGCAGTATTAATTTGTATTGGTAGAAGTGAGTACCCTCCATTCTAGGCTTGCCAAGTCCCCCCGAGGGGCGGGGAAACCCCCGCCCCAGAGGCCCATTCCCCGCCGCCGATGGATCGGGCCCCGGGGGGAACTCCACCCCGACGTGCACATCACCAGGAAGTGATGCGACCACGCCGGGCATGCTGGGGGCGGGGCCACAGTCATCCGAGGGAAAACTCTATGGTTTCCGGTCACGTCACTTCCTGGTGACATGGATGCGGCGCGCGTGCGCTCCAGGATCAACACGGGAGTCCCCTGCTTCAGGATAAGGTACAACTTGGCAACCCTACTCCATTCTGTTTGTATATACTTTCCCAAAGTTTCTGTTACCCCCTACAATGGAAAAAAGTTCCCCTGGCATAGCTTCAAAGTTATGGAAATCTTACATCTCTGTATGGGGCACTGTCTTAAGGAGTTACCAATCTTAGTCTGGAGTAGATTCTAACTAGTTTAGCTTCTGCCCTGCAGTAAGAACAAATTATTCCTTGGTACACAATAACAGACGGTTGTGAAAATCAGTAAAAATTATGCACTGTCAAGTTGCAACCAACTTGTAGCAACCACGGGACATGAGGTGTTCAAGACAAGAGACAAGTAGAGGTGGTTTGCCATTACCTTCTGCATAGCAACTCCAGTCTTCTTTAGTAGTATGACCCTATGCAAGCGCTAACTATGGCCAACCCTGCTTCCAAGCTCTAACAAGATAATGCTAGTCCGAGTTCTTCAGATTGCTGGTTAAAAAAATAGCAACATGTAACCTGATTAGGGTTGCCAGATACCCTGGTGGAGGCGGGGGTCCCACTGGCAGCCCCTGCCCCCCCCAGCTGCCATTCAGCTGGCCAACAGGATGACTTACCTGTAGACAGAGAAAGGCCCAGACCTTGTAACCAGTGTTGCTCAGGAAGTGACATCATCATGCCAGTGCAATCCAGGTGACACTGATATTTGGGCAAAAACTCTATGGTAGAAGCCAGTTTTACCACAGAGTTTTTGCCGAAATACTAGAGTGTCATCTGGACAATGCTGGCGTGATGATGTCACTTCCAGTGTGACTAGGGTTGCCAAGGATTACCTCGATCAGGAGCGGGGGACTCCCGGGTTGCTCCTGGAGCGCGCACGCGCGCCGCATACACATCACACGGAAGTGACGCGATCACGCAGGGCATGCTGGGGGCGGGGCCATGACCATCTGAGGGAAAACCGTAACCATACAAACCGTAACGTTTTCCCTCAGATGGTCATGGCCCCGCCCCCAGCGTGCCCCTGATATTTGGGCAAAAACTCTATGGTAGAAGCCAGTTTTACCACAGAGTTTTTGCCGAAATACTAGAGTGTCATCTGGACAATGCTGGCGTGATGATGTCACTTCCAGTGTGACTAGGGTTGCCAAGGATTACCTCGATCAGGAGCGGGGGACTCCCGGGTTGCTCCTGGAGCGCGCACGCGCGCCGCATCCACATCACACAGAAGTGACGCGATCACGCAGGGCACGCTGGGGGCGGGGCCATGACCATCTGAGGGTCATGACCC